AGGAAAACAGTGTAGAAATTGAGTAAACAGGAAAAAAGGATAAGAAAACTTTAATAACAGTCCTGACTTGAACGCGGTCATTTCTATAAAAAAGCAGTTAGTCTTGCATCAACAATATCCTATTTTAAAATCTGTGCAATATCAAACTACGTTATATGCTATTATTTGTTTGTACAATTTTTCTGGGCTTTTTAAAATCGTGATTATTTATAAAAAGCAGTTTACGTCCTGTATAAACAACATCCTATTTGAAGTCTATACAATGCCAAACTACGCTATACGCTGATATTGGTTTGTACAATTTAGCTCATTTTTAATTTTCTCCAACCACACTTCGCAAGGAGGTACGATAAAAACAAACCCCCCAAAAAAGTCAAGAAACCCTTCTAACGCAAATTAAGTTTACGCACCAGCACTCTTTCTATTCCGCTAGCATATTTTTCGCAGTGCCGCTGGTTATAATGTCCAAGCGGGCTGAAAAATAAAGGGTCTTAAGTCACATTTAGCCACGTATAGAGTTCTCGGTCTGAGGACAGACATCAGGGGAGACTAAACTACGTTGCAAGTGAAGGAAATGACTGGGTGGATTTAGATCAGAGTTGTAACTTTTACAAATCACTAGGTAGTATATCATGCTGAGGGTGTTTTTTTTCCTTTGTTTTTTCTTTGTTTTTTTTGTTTTTGTTTCTATTTGTTTCTGGACACGACCTGGGGGTGGATTAGACCCTTTATTTCCCCTACCCCTTCAGTAACTTCCCTCAGTGCGCCAACTGTTTCCCTCGTTTGCCTATAAATGCCTTTTCTTCCGCTCCGCTCATTTGCTATAGTGCCCTTTCCTTTCAGCCCCACTCGTTGTTTGAATGCCCGTCTTTCTCGCTACCTGTAAACGTGGACTATCTATCTATTTATCTGTCTATCTATCTGTCGGCCTACCTGTCTGTCTGTCTGTCTGTCTGTCTGTCTGTCTGTCTGTCTGTCTGTCTGTCTGTCTAGCCTATTCATTCATTCTTGACGTACCGACAGATATCAGTGTGCCAATGTGACTGTGCCCGTGGAACAGTCACGACGGTGGCGAAATATTTCTATACCGTAGTATTGACATACTCAATCTAGCTCAGTCTGAGAATCTTGTTACCCCTGCCCGCTTGTTTCCTTTTTAACAAGTGTATAATTGTTATCTATACTAAAGGTTAGCCCATTCGCCGTTGCACGGTGAAGACATGAGTTCGATTCCCATAAAGAGAGGGTTTTATTATATCTAGTGTCTCCATCTGTCTGCCAGACGTTGCATCCCTCTCGACCAACCGCGATAGGGCCCGACAGGCAGGGTCGCAATCAATATATAGCCCGCCTCCTAAATGATGTAAATGTATCAAAGTAAATAATATCTACAGTTACACTTATTTTTCTCTCCTGTTTAAAAAAAAAAAATCACTATTTTTGATACACACCTTAGTTAAGTGGTTTTGAAAACCGTCACTGGGCTGATTAAACACATTTCATCTGAACAACTTAATAATGAAACCAGCTCAGTTTTAAAAGGACATGGCACTACTCATTATCCTAAAGGTGAAAAAAAGGGGTTGGTAGTAAGTAATGTCCACGTTATTTTGTTTAGATGCCTTACCTTATTCAGCCCGGGTTAGCCTTGGCTGCAATCCACCTGTCAAAGGACCTTAAATAGCATAATATGTCAATGGGGCCGCCACGACATGTAAATTTACATTTGGAATTAAACTTTTACATGTTCAAAATAATTATGACAAACTCGTCTCTGACTAAATTTGTCTCATCGGACATCGCAAAAGCCATAATTAATATAAGTCTTCACAATCCGTATTTATTTTTTTTCTCTTTCATTTATAACAAATATTCTCCTGTGCATATGTATGTGGGTGGTTGGCGGGTGCTCTGGTGTGGTTTGCTCCTTCTTTCCTATCAAACATCTATCGTCCTTATCTCCCCCTCCTTTTTCTTTATGTTTGTTACTCTCTTGTAACATCTCTAATCTTCTGGCGCTCATATGACCTTATGCAGTTGCGAGCGCCGTAAAATCTCTACTAAAACTAACTGTGCAGATGTATTGGTCATCGACAGACATTGAGGAACGAACTATTATTATTATTATTATTATTGTTGTTGTTGTTGTTGCTGTTGTTGTTTTTGTTATTATTATTGTTATTGATATTGTTATTGTTATTGTTTATTATTTATATCAGTATTAGAATCATTGTTATTACTATTATCATCATTATTATTATCTTTATTATTATCGTTATGATGATGATGATGATGATGATGATGATGATGATGATGATGATGATGATGATGATGATGATGATGATGATGATGATGATGATGATGATGATGAAGCCT